CCTTTTTTCGAGCTCCTGAATCAAATCTTCCACCTTGCATTTCGAAAACACCATTCCACAAAGCTTCTGGTCCGGAACAGGGCAAATTTAAGCAGCGCACAATCCTCCTATACGTCTAACTCAAAAATCCGGCGCTGATTTTGACCTTTCAGGCTTCTTTTCCTTCTGCGACTAAGTTAGCGAATCCCACATACATATAAGTAGGTAAAGGTACAAGGTACCAGTTCAAAGGATATAGAAGCCCACAGTCATAACCTCTTTGATTTTCTGCTAGAGCTGCAAGCCTGAACCTCGAAACAAGGCTTCAAAAATGTTCAAAAGCGAAAGTGTTATGAACCCAAAAAATTGTGGAAATTGCCTACTAGTGTTTCGGGTCTTTGTCGAACAAACGGCTTCTCTAGCTCCGCGGGTCGACTCATTGATTCCTTGTGCTCCTCCTCGACTATTTTCTGTTCTATCTGAAGCAGTCCACAGGTCAACTAGGCCCGAATACAAGTAAATTTAAGGATACACGCAAATGTATTTAAAACAGCGTCCGCGATCAACCAAAGTGCAGAAATCCTTGAGAGTACAAGATGGCGGAGCTTGTGATTACAGCGAAATCCCTTTTTCGAGGCTCAAAAGCGTTTGATGAAAGCGCGACAGCTCAGCAACGTCTATGAAGGCGGAGTCAACAAGTTACACTTCGATCATTTTTTCATTACCAAGATTCGTCAGCGGTGATAATTGCTAATCGTATCGAATATGCCTTAGAGAACGAGTGCAGGAAGTAGCGATTAGATCCAGGAGAGCTTGTCCAGAGATTGATTAACTCGTCCATTTTCAATCCCGCGCATGAGGTCTTTTTGAGGCATTTTCAACGGATTTTTTTTCCTTTCTTAGCATTGTACTTACAACATGACCTAATGGTTCCAAGCTCTGCAAATTGTTAAAAGCGACGCGGGCCCTGTCTTTGAAAATATAATAGTATTTTTAGAAGGCAGCACCACTACAGAACAGCTTCACCAGACACAATTCAGTCATCATTTGAAACTAACTTAGACTTGAAGATCGCTTCCGAAATAATTGGAAATCCAAATGTGAACGTATTAAGTCTCCTGCCTTTTTCAAATTTGAGATTATACCGAATTTTGCGGTTGACAAAACAAACAACGCTCGCAGACAATACTGAGCCTGCAGTCCTCGAGTGCTGACAAAAAAAAGACAGCTGCCCTCCCATACTTCACCAAATCTACTGGGGATAGCATTGCAACAGAAACAATGAGGTGACGGGGTCACTCAGTCTATTACAAGTCTCGCTTAAGCACTACTGATGTGAGGCACAAGAGCTGCATCCACAAGGAGAAAAAGATTCTATGTAATGCACCGTGAAGAATGAGACCTAGAGATTTCGGTGCCCGAAATCCAAATATTGTTCTTTGTGTAAGCTTTTTGAGATAGCTTTAAGTTCCATATAACTTTGAAGCGTCTATACGCTCTATCCGATAGCTCGATTGAATTCATGCTGGGGTAACTTATCTGGTTTTTCATCGGATCAAAACAAACATGGATAAGTGCAGAAATGCACAATTTTCCTATCCTAATTTAACCAACTATTATCACTACCCGGCAACAGCTGTCAATGCACCCGTACCACACACTATATCAGCTCTAGGAACCAATGTCCCATTGAAGCTGTGCGACGTGGATTGAATTTAGTGATCTTCTCTTTCTAAGACACCTTATTGTTTCCCATCAATTGTAATCTCTTTCTGTCGCCCACCAATAGTGTTTCCCCTCTGCCGCTATATCACCCCTGGAACCTCAGTTTTAATTAATTTCTACCTATCAAAAATTTACCCGAACCGTAATTTATCCCCTATATCACTTATCTCTTCCTATCACCCACCAATAGTGGTTCCGTCGCACCTCTACATCACTTCTCAAAATCAATGCCTCACTGCTACTGCGACAAGCGCTACGAATTTCGTCGACGAACAGACGGACGCGCGCACTTCCACACAGACATACCTAGCGGATTATATAGTAGGATCAGTGTGGATTCTTTGCGACTAAATCAAAGGAAATCATGTTTTGGTCAGACACACGTGCATACACCAACGGGCAAAATTAGCGAATTATGTACAGCAGGATTGTTCTTATTAGCAGGGCTGTGTTGATCGTTTTTCACTCCTATGTCTTGCGAGGATGGCACGTGGTAATTCATTCAGAAAGGTTCAAAGGCTTCATCAGAAGCCTGAACATTGCAAGTTATAGATTACGATCTAATTCACCCAGTGCCCCAACAACTCTTATGGTTCCGACACTGTGCCAGAATCACTGGAAACGAGACCATTTTCGAACACGGAGGGTGCCTTCGAGGTGTCCAACGACATCACTGTATCTGGGCCGTAGAAGTAGCTAGGAAAACACCTTGATTCACACTACATCTTGATTGCAGCATGCTCCACAGCAATGAGTGTCCATAGATGTAAAATGAGGAAAATGACAGGAGCGGTACAAAAATAGCCCCTGTGAGTGGTCATACGCGCTTCGAGATGGTATCGATGATATCGAAATAATGACTAATGTCCGCCTGTACGATGGGTTCAATTTCACGTTCTTAAAGAGTCGCTGACACGATGTCAGAACCCACAGATTTGAAGAAGCTTTGAGTAGGTGAATTTGCAGATCAACATGTTGTGAAACCGATGTTTTAGTCAACCGTCATGCCTTACTAAATGAAAGCCACCTAAGAACCTCGCAACGTACGGAAAAAGTGGGAAGCTATTCTGAAAGCAAAATCAACTCAAGAATGAAATCCAGTGATGCTTCAAGCATACGTAACATCTGTTATGAGAATGTGCATGAACGAAGAAGGACTCACCTTCTTTTGTGGATGTTTTTGTTTTTCTTCTTCAGATATTCGATATGCTTCGCGCGAGGTTTCCTTTATAGTCTCTTTCGCCGTGACAGCGTCTTCAGTCGGAGGCAGTTCAGCTTCCTAGATGGATCACTAATTGGAAATATTCTCTAACTGGAAAACATATGTTCGCTTCGATGGAGCAGACGACTTCGAGTCCTCCAGTTCAATATCTGATGGGTTAGAACAGAAAAGTATGGCCGATCTCTCGGAATTCGGCGTTCTCGGCAGCAAACGTTTAGTGATAGCGCAAGGTGCTTTACGTTGAGCATGCATGTACGCGCCATTAAATTTCTTGGAAAAAAGCCGTCCACAGACCCAAAATCAAACTCTTTGGGAAACTAGTAGTATTCTTGGCGGGAATGCAGCAAGGTACTGCTACAGCAGTGACAGCTATAAATGATCTTAATCAACTCCAAGGTGCATGATTCCAAGCTCAGAAAGGTCTAGTCTTTTCAATTCCAATACAACGTGAGTCTTCACGCAGGAATGAATCTCTACTGGGACTTCTAGCTACATACATCTCACTCAACATGTTTTGCAGCTTCTGAGCCATACAGCACCTTTGTGCAAAACCCATCTGTGGGGGGAGGGGGGTCGTAAATGCAGGGTCGGTGAGCACCAAACATCACGTGGCTAATTTGAGGAGCGGACGCAGTGTTGTAGGGGAATCGCATGAAAGACTACAAAATACTAAAATAATTAATTAGCAGTATTAATAGTTGGCATGATCTCGTAAGTACGTAGATGACTAAATAATACATTTCAAACAGATTTCTGCGTATTGACCGTTCCAAACCCTAAACATCTGATTGCATAGGCGAAGATCACCTAAAATCAGATGTTACACTTTTCACCATCTTCGCGTAGAAGCGTTATGCACGGTGCACAGTCAGACCAAATCGATCGATGATAACCAAGCCGTACGTCCACTTATTTCAACGAGATGGGTTTCGAAGGCACATGGAAGTTCCCTGATGAGTACTCTTGCGATGGCACAGGAGTCGAGTTTTTGAATGGCTAAGAATTCCGTCCTCAATATCCAATCTAAAATATCTTCTAGTCTGAGTGGTCCTCAGAAACACAGCAGGGCTCTTCGGAAAGAGGAAATATCGCCTTTTAAAGGGGTTTTTTAGATTGGAAAAGAGAAGGAGGGAGAAGAAAAGAGAGGAATGAAAGAGGTTATTTTGTCCGAAGCCCCAAAAACCCGCGAGGTTCGCCATTAATCCATTAAAACCCGCCCAAAATAGGTCTGAAGCGGGGAAAGATTCAGGTGACCGGTGGTGACAAAACGCAAGCAGAAACATTGCTCAAACATGCCGCCTTCCGTTTCTCAGAAGCTCCATACCCAAAAAAAAGCTATCACTCTAGGAGCCAGCGACTTCCATCATGTCAACACGTGTGCTCTCTAGACCCACTTTGCGCTGGGATCTCCGCAGCCGCAATCTCTCGCAAATCGTTACACATTCACATTATATTGTCGCAGCAAACATCAAAACCGGAAAGAGGGGAGGGGTCGTACTAAAAACGCCGCTCTACAGTCACGATGCTTTATCTGTTTTGAGCTGTAATGTGACGACTAATGCATCAGCCTGAGCACAAAAAAATTAATACTCTACGCCCGAAACCAGATCGATCTCTTACCAACGCAGAAGCACACCGAGAGAACACTTCTCAACAATAAAGCTTGCGGTTTCGGTATCGAAAGCATTTTGTCGCTGGTTCAAAATCTCGTCCATGGAACTATGCATTCCACAGAACGTATGAGGCTTGAGAGGGTGAAATGCCACTCATTCAAACCAAATGAAGCGCTAATATGTCGCTCGAGACTTGCAATGTGTCGGCCTTTCCGCCTTCGCACGATGTCATAATGTAATATGCCTGGGGAAGCGCAACATGCTGCGCCAGATCGTGATGGTTAGCCACAATGACACAATAATAATTTCACTCAATGAATAAAACTTGAGAGCAGTTTCCGAACACTTTCTGCACACCCCCAACTACGGATTTGAAGAACACGAAATGAGTCATACTCAGTCCGTTCCCGCCCAACCGAAGAGCATTGGGCGGCACGAGTGTCGCATAGCTTTCGCTAATTTTAGACTATTCTATTGGCAATTATTGGACTACTACTGCAGCATCGGACAGACACATTCAGGCACCGTTTTTTGAATGTAACCGCAAAGCATAATATAAGTACCACTGTTATCCTTTCGAGAACACGTCTTTCCACTATCTCCCTTTCCTGAAACAAATTGAATTCGGATCTAGTTGCTCTACTGGAACGAATTGTAATAGCTCTCACTGTGACAATCTGTGTCCGCATTGGGAACTTCTGAAATGAAACACATAAGTGACAATGAAAACACAGATCAGTTACGGAAAATCGTACATGAGGAATCACTTGTCTAGTGGTGGTGACCTCGACCTATAAATAAAATGTTCTGCAAATAACTGTGGAAGCTGATTTCCCGAATGAAAATTACCGTCTTTGATAACTGAGATGGTTTCTGAGAATCCTTCGTCGCATTACTATAACCCTCCTCTCTAATTCTACTTTGCTCAGTCAAGTCTGAAAAACCGATCCAGTGTTCTCTCAAAATAGATAAATATCGTCTGCTCGATTCTGGCACGGAATTGCACCAACTCACTATCTGTCTTCATTCTCTCATCTTCCTTTTTCTGTACTTCCTCCGTCCTTTCTAACAGTGACTCCACTTGCTGTTGTTGCATCAATGCGGCCTTTTTCTCTTCCTCTTTCGTTTGCATCTCCTGCATCCATTGCGACTGCGACTCCAGTTTCTGTTTCTGCTCAACTGCAGGCGGTACATCCGCCTCCTTAGACGGCTGTGGTGTGCTATCAATTGGGAACTCTGACTTCCCCTGCGGTTTTTCTGATGAACTAGGTTGTGTATGATCAAGATCCATGGGAATCTTTGTTTCTATTGCATCCTCTGGCTCTGTTGCAGGCAACAGGGGTTCCGCTAACGGGTCCGTTGGCTCAGGTTTTGGCTTTTCTGGTTCTTCGGTGATCAACTCAGCCTCTTCTGGCACCCCCGACACAGGATGCGCCGGTTCTTTTTGTTGCGCCTCTGATGGCACACTCAATCCTTGATCAGGTTGCTCCAGTTCTTTCTGCTGCGCCTCTGACAGCATGCTTGATCCTTGGCCAGGTAGCTGCAGTTCTTTTTGCTGGCCCTCTGATGGCAGACTTGATCCTTGGCCAGGTTGTTGCGCTTCTTTTGGTTGGGCCTCTGATGAAACACTTGATTCTTCTCCACGTCGCTCCAATTCTTTTTGTTGCGCCTCTGACGGCACGCTTGTTCCTTGACCAGCTTGCTCCATTTGCTGCGCCTCTGATGGCCCACACGAACTTTGTGCATATTGCTCCTTTTCTTTTTGTTGCGCCTCCGATGGCACACTCAATCCTTGATCAGGTTGCTGGCCGTTCCTTCCTGCTGCGCCTCTGACAGCATGCTTGATCCTTGGCCGGGTAGCTGCGACTCCTTTTGCTGGCCCTCTGATGGCAGACTTGATCCTTGGCCAGGTTGTTGCGCTTCTTTTTGTTGGGCCTCTGATGAAACACTTGATTCTTCTCCACGTCGCTCCAATTCTTTTTGTTGCGCCTCTGATGGCACACTTGATCCTTGACCAGCTTGCTCCAGTTCCTTTTGCTGCGCCTCTGATGGCCCACACGAACTTTGTGCAGATTCCTCCATTTCTTTTTGTTGCGCCTCCGATGGCACAAGCTCCGACGCTGCCTATAACGACGCCTATATTGTTGAAAGACAACTAGATTCACTCAAAGGCAGTGGGCGCACGATTTCTGGAGGCAAGCGGGTTGAAAGTGCCATGGGTGGGAGGGGGCAAAAAAGCATCGGCAGCTCGGCCGAATGCCCCCTTCAACTTTTCCACCAATGACGCTGGCAACAACCGCTGGCCTCCAGCAATCATACCCACTGCCTTCACACGGAAGTTGACCAGTAATAATCTTCTGTTGCCTAGCCTCTACCATTAGAGCTGATGAGAAAGTCCTCAGGAATATGGCGCTCGAAAAAGATGCGTACACTATCCCTTTGTTTCCGTAACCCGAATCTATGTGATAAGGGCGCCACGGCCAAGGAACGACATGCTATTTAGTTTCACTGTCGTAAGTTGTATACACCTTTATCAATTCGTTTTGCCATCGCACTTTAGCGGTGGGATCTCAGTCATTTGTATTCTCTAGCTGTACCGTGTCTGCTTCACCTTTCAACACATAACTCTTTGCGCCGAACGGTCGCTCAGCGAGAGGACTCTTAATCAAGGGATTTTCGACGATTTAGTTGGCCTTTTTCTCAACCAGTTTCACATACCAGAGGATCTGATTACACAGTTAGGTAGGCACTACCTATTCCATGGGAAGCAACGCCCGCAATCGCCGATTGCGGTAGTAGATGACGATTGCAGGCACTACTTCGAGTGGAGTGGTGCAGCATACCCGGGGTATTTGATTACCACCAACCACATTCTCCCATTGCCACTGAAGTTTTTATTTATCACTTATTATGACCCACTACAAATACAAGAGAGTAGCGGCAGTACTTGCACGAAAAATAGTAAGGTAATTGAAAGGTCAAACTCGATCTCACCGGAGGGGGTTCACTGCCTGTTGTGCACTCATCTCCCTAAAAATAAATCAGTATTTAATTCGAGCGGACTGATGGTAAGTTTTAGCAATGTTGATGTCAACGTAAACCCTGGGCTGAGAACACCCGCGAAAGTAGCATTTGTTACTTTGTTGTGAAAAACCAAGCAGAAAAACAGCGTGATTAGGTTGCCTGCCGTACGAAAGACACGTTTTGCGATTACCTGATGGATAGAATACCAACCATTTATACAATGTGAAAAATCGGCAACCCTATAGCGTACCACTTCGCCACTCCGACGTGTCTGGTAACGACGATAAGAAATTGTGACTTGAGCCGCAGTGTGTTTTCCAGGGTCTACGGAGCGCTCGAACTGCTCCGTCTGGCCGAGCCTGTTTTTTTTGCACTCTTTCGCCTGCATGGCGTACTATGAGGTGAGTTCACGCTACAGCTTTTCACGCGTGAAAGATGGCTCACTCAGAGGCTCCTCCTCTTGAGAAAACTTATCTCATGGCCCACCACATGTTTTTTGCACATCCCGGTGCTACGCTGTCTGCATGCAGAGCTCGGTACTCTAACGAACCTTCGCTCTTTAAATGCGTGGTGTTTGACCAAAATCGTCGTTTTTGACCAAAATCGTATACTAACTGCAACCGTGGAATGTATTATACTTGTCGATAGAATAGCAATAGTTCTACTACCGCACATCTCACAAACTTTGTCTTTAGTGAATCTATCTCTTCGAAAGAGTAGATGTCGCTCAACAGGAAAAAAATTTGGTGCAATCGCTCTTGAGGAAACCTTTGCCAACGGCTGAGATGGAAAAGCCAACAGTTCATTTGTATAACATTTCATTTGTTCATTGTTTGTATAAAATTTCATTCGTTCATTTCAGTCGGCAAGGTGGCAACGATTAATTCCCGGAAAGCAGTGACTCCATTTTAGAATACACCAACAGAGGGGCAATCAGGGTTATGTCTCGAGCTGATGGCAGAAAACAGCCAGATGACGGCAATTAAAAGTGGCTAAATTAGAAATATTCGAGCTGTGCCATCCTATCCTACTATATATAATCCGCTAAGTTTGTCTGTTGATGTGTCTGTCTGTGGGTGGGTGTGTTTGAATGGAAATTCATAACTTCCTTCAAAACAGCGATAGAGATCTCAAAGTAATAAGTGATATATGTGGTTGGGCAGGAACAGTATTTATGGGTGGCAGGAAATGATAAGAGCTGATAAGATATCGTAGGAAGTCTTAGGAGGAGAGGTATCAAATTCATAGTTCCACAGCAAGTGGAACGCTGGTTATCTATATTGTTCTGAGTTAGTGGTCTACTGCTATGCCTTAGTACACGCCGAGTTGCTGCAGAAAACTGCATTATGATGGTAATTAGGAGTGATTAAATTAGAAATACTCGAGCTGTGCCATTATGTATACTGATCTAAGTTAGGGGTCCATTGCTATGCTCTGAGTACATGCCAAGCTGCTGCAGAAAACAGCATGATGATGGCAGTTAGGAGTGACTAAATTAGAAATACTCGAGCTGTGCCATTATCTATATCAATCTGTGTTGGTGATCTATTGCTATGCCGAGTACACGCCCCACATTTTCTCGAAAAACTACGCCTTTATAGCAAATGGATTCACCGTCGTCTTAGTCGTGATCTTCAATCTGTGTATCATCATAGTTGTTGTTTTCGTTACTTCTTCACCGGGAACTTGATCGCCTTCTGTCTTTGCACACTGAAATAAAAAGTCTCATAAAAATGAAAGTAATGAAGTACATAATGCCACTAGAATCTGATATCGATGTCGTGCTTTGCATTGAGCCGTGAATTCGAATCTCATTGACGTAGTTTGGAGCTTAGACTCACAACGGCAGCCTGATCTGATTCTACCGATCCAGCTGGCGTTTTGTCAAGCAAGCTATCTTGCCACATGTAGGGTACGTTTGATATCGTATCCACATCTGAAATATATCAGCTTGAGGCTTATCCAGGCGATGCAACCAGCACTTCCAGACTATGATAGACTGGCTCTGGAATAACGATACACTTCTTTAATCCTTCGTATACAGGGTACTTTATGCCCGCAAATTCTGACTATAGCCTTAACGTGGAGTCGGGATGAGACGGTTTTAACCGGCTGATGAGGTGGTTACGTACATTTTTCACGTTAGAGCCTGGCAAGCTATGAATAACTCATATATTATAAACGCTAACAGCTATCGCCCTCATTCTCCTGGACTTTAGGGATCAGGGATCCGTTACGTTGGTTGCGACTACTCAGCAGAAAAAATCTAAGAAAGAAGACAAACGACAAGAAAGAAGACATTCCAGAAGGGAGAAGCAAGCCGCAGGATTCACAATAGGTACTGTCAACGCATGAAAGCTTGCATCGGAAGCCCCCTTCGATGATCTCAGGATGCGAGCTAGAAGGATTACGAACAGGGTCATCGGACTGACAGAAAAGAGAAGGCAACGCCGCTACATACCACCTACGAAAATTTTGAAAAACCGTGTTTTAGAAGACTGCAGTGACAGTGCAGTAGTGTGAGGCCAGTCAACACCCTGTTGACTACAAACATTGATCTGTACGAAAAGCCGACGGCCCGAGTTGATCGTTGGCGACTGCGGGGGAGAATGCGGTTCAACTCTGGCTTTGACAATCTTCGGCACCTGCGCACGAGTTACTAAGGAGATGAGCTCGAAGCCTTCTGTGTTTATGGAATTAGAGAAGTTCGGAAGTCATGGAATGGAGCGGAATGATGGAAGACAAGATGGCCTGTCTGAGTTCATCATATCGACCGGCATCTTCCATGGTAACTCGCAATTTCAAGGCCTTAATCTCTACGCAGGACTCCTCCTCACGGACGAGCCCATAATGAGACCGATCGCATGAAAATCAATCGAAAGTTTTGCTTGATCGAGTCTCTGTTGCTCCTAAGTTCTAAATGGGACCAGACCACCATCTCCTCTGCGCAACGTTCCGCTTTCAGATATAAAGCGAAAGAGAGATAGAGAAAGACAGAGAGAGAACTGCAGTTGCAAAATTCAGGATAGGAACTTTGCGAAAACTCAGTTTAGGCTCGTAAGTGGCGCTGATCGATCGCTTGCCAGTGCCACCATGACGTAGTGGAAAGTGTTTCGCTCCAAGGACACCTGTACCAAATTTTGCTCCCCGTCGATGCGAAAATTTCTGCTTCGACTCTATGAACAGCTTTGACATTAATTTTTGAAAATTCTACCAATTAACGACCCAGCGGAGTAGATCGAATGTCTGACTCGGGAGATCAAATACAGGGGGATGGAGCAAAAAGTCACTTCGACGGAGTCACATATCAGCAATGTTTTCGCTGCCCAGACAGAGGACGTGGATACGAGTACCAGGGCTAAAGTACCCAAGATGTCCCTCGATAAGCAGGAGCTGGCTCTCATACATCAGCTTCATGCACACCAAAATATGAAGTCATCTCCAGTCGCAGCCTACTGGAGAAGACCTTTGGAATTCATGTCACCTCAAAACAGCTGCGAAACTTCTAGTATGGAGTCACCCATGGATAGCTACCTGGAGACCAGTATTCTCGATCTGGATGCCCTCCAACATCGAGCAGCTCCGATGACGTCGCCACGGTCTAGGACATCATCTTCACCACAGTCTTCAGGCAGCGTTCATACTTGTAGCGCTACAGCGTCGCGCTACTGCTTCGCGCTACAGCGTCGCGCTACAGCGTCGCGCTACAGCGTCGCGCTACAGCGCCGCTTCGCAACGTACTGCTATTTCCAACGTTAGGATGATTAGAGTTGCTTACAGAGAAAAGTGGGAAGGTTGCTGGAGTTTTCTTGAGAAATTCACGGAAAGGTGAGACTGATACAGCTGTAACTATCTGACGCCATCCTTGACAGTTACTCCATAGTCACTATTCTTCTGGTACTGCTTTTAGCGTAACAGTGTCCTTCTGTCCTAATAAGAGCATTTCCTGCAAAAAACACCCAAAGAGTACTCGCGCCACCTGAAAACAAGCACGCATGTTTTTTTTTACCGGAGACACAAGAACCATAAAGGAACTTCTTGTTTGCCTTGTGTTAACGCATTGTTGACCAGACAGTCTTCGCGTGCTGTTGTGGGAGATGAGGCCATTTTTTTCTGCTGTTGACAAATGCGACTCAATACTGATACGCATCCCAGGCCAAAAAAGTACAAGAGTTGTTGACTGTGAATGCCTCGAAAACCGGCATGAATCTTTTTCCTGTGATCCAGGCAGAGATTGGGGGCGAACTCGAAAAGCTCCATAATCCATAAGTGGTATCGGATTCTGTATTCATTTTTTCTGTATCCAACCCTCTTCTCTTTGGTTCTCATATTTATCTGATAGTGAGCTCCTGTTTTCTACTTTATCACATTTAAATGTAGTTTCTGATACAGAAGACCGTTGTATTTGGTTTTATTTACCGTTTTTGACTTTAATTATTTGGTTTCAGAGTTGCTATTGGTGTTTGATTTCTTTGCTTGATGCCTTGCAGTGGTGCCTCACGTTGACTCCGATGACGAAATAGTTTTTGGCATCCAGCACAGATGGCAAACCAACACACAGTATTCAGTCGCATTTGTCGGCAGCAGAAAGAAAAGGCCTTATCTCCCACAACAGCACGCGAAGACTGTCTGGTCAACAATGCACAAGGCAAACAAGAAGTTCCTTTATGGTTCTTGTGTCTCCGGTAAAAAAACATGCGTGCTTGTTTTCAGGTGACGCGAGTACTCTTTGGGTGTTTTTTACAGGAAATGCTCTTATTAGGACAGAAGGGCACTGTTACGCTAAAAGCAGTACCAGAAGAATAGTGACTGATGGAGTAACTGTCAAGGATGGCGTCAGATAGTTACAGCTGTATCAGTCTCACCTTTCCGTGAATTTCTCAAGAAAACTCCAGCAACCTTCCCACTTTTCTCTGTAAGCAACTCTAATCATCATA